TATCAGAATGTTTAATATTCTTCACTTAAAGAGACAGCAGTATAGATAGCTATTCTTAATTATTCTGAGCATGGAGATATTAAGAAGGCAATTGTAGCACAATGGCTTGTCTGATGGGTATCATGCAAGAGGTACAAAACAAAAAAACTTTTTTATTTTGTATATCCTATGTGCTTTGTAATTTCTGTTTCATTCCTAGTAGTTCACTAGAACTGCAACAGCTCATGCTGACTCTTAAAAGAGTTGGAGAACAGTACCTGTCTTGTCTGGGAACTCTGCTAAAATTCATACGGCAATGAAAGTACCAGGATTCCTTTCCATTAGAGACATTGTGGTGTCAGTGAAGTGTAACATACAAAACCATAATGAGCAGGTTGTACAGTTTATAGTTTCTAAGCTGCACAAAACATTAGCTCTATAAATATATTTTAAAAGACCCACCAGCAAACATTTAAAAATAATTGCAAGTTCTTCAGTGATGTAGACACATAAATGAAGGAATTCTGCTGAGGCAATTATAGTGTCTCCTGCTGCTCTGCCAAAATTACTGCATGATACATGAGATTTCACAGTGTTTATAGATCTCTGCAGTAACTAAAGATTTAAGGTTTAGAACTTGGAGGTGAGCTAAAAAGATGTTGTAAATAACTGCACAGGTTTCAAATCTAACAGGATGACTATGGTGCTCTAATATTGCTGCACTTGTCCAGAGAGTGGATTTGCCACTCTCTATAAAAGCTTTGGGATGGCTTGTCTTTGTGAGTACTGCAGAAATGGACTGTAATCAAAATATTCAGGTGAAAGCTTCTTAATGTGCTTATGGACTAAAGATGTACTTTTCAGAGCTTAGATGATTCCATGTATCTCCCCAATGGTTGATGATGTTACTTAATGTAAAGAGCAAAGTGGGGAGTAAGTCTTTCCCTGTTAGAAGTTCATCTGCTTCATCTATTATTTTCTCTACAAGAATGAAATTTTTGCCTATTGTCTCTGAAGATCTCATGACACCATTCTATAGAAGGACAGCAGGATACCTTCTCTGGGGTCACATAGGCAGTGGACAGCACAGCCAGAAACTGAACCTGGCATCCTTATTCCCAGTCCTGTGTTACATTCTTTTCCTTGCTGGCAAGAATACCATGTATATACATAAATAAAGGAATCCTGGTAAGCTATTTAATTCCAGTTATCTCTGACTTTTAAGATTACATTTACTTATCTGAAATTAAGAAGGTATTTAGAAATGTAAACTATTTTTTAAAGCTGCTTGTGCTTTATATGTATGTTTCTCATTTTTTATTTTTGAACAAACCTGATTTTAATCAACGTTTCCATATTTTCTAGACATCACTCAGATGATGAGAGCATTGGAAAAGCTTCTTTGCGAAAGTGAAATATGGATTTTATTTGAAATTTTTCTTTGAAGGTCTTTAAGGAAAACATGCATCTGTGTTTATCAGATATTTTATTACTTATCTTTTAATAAGAGTTAATTAAAAAAATTTAGAGAATTGTTATCTTCAGGTATACCTCGGTGATGCTTGAATCAAGACTCTTATTTTTGGAGGTGCTTCATAGATCCTAGTGATCTCATTTGTATCAGTTATGATATGTGAACCAAAGTGTGACCCTATCCAAAGCTTGTGGGTATTTAGATCTCTGTTTACAGCTTAGGACCATTGATTTTACCTAGATTGTTGCCACTTCAAAGGACACAGAAATAGATACTTGGATGTGTTCAAAGTGTACTGAAGCCAACCTGTGTGTGCAGAGTCTGACTATGTGGATGCAGATATCAAAGTACTCTTGCTCCTACCCTGTAATTCTGAGCTGGGGATGAAAGAAAATAACCATGATGGATGAATGACCATGTTTCTCTGACTAGATTTTGTCTTGTTCACCAACATTTTAGCTCTTAATAGTTCTGACACTTTAAAAAAAATGTTCTTATAAGTGTTTCATTTTATAGGAAGATATGATTACATCTCTATTTATTTTTTGACATTGTTAAAGCAGAGAGTTGGTCCAGCTGTGAATCTATCAGCTGTAAACAATGTTTTTTGCTTTTGGCCAAATTTTAGTCTCCTAATGTTTCCACTCTGCCTGGAGTGAATCACTGTGACCAACAAATCCCTGAAAATAGGAACATATAATGGAAAAGCTGACAAGACCCTTAACAACAGCAGAGCCATGGGCTTTGGTATAAACAACATAATAACAGAGTGGATTTGATGGTCGTCCTGGAATTTCACTCTTTTGTTGCATTTCTTGTCCAATTGCCTGCATGACTATTTCACAGCAATACTTCCTGGCGTATTCCAAAAGCTAGAATTATTCATCTACAGGCTCCTGCCATAGCCCAGCAATAAAATGTGTATTGGGATGTTAACTGCTCTTTCTTTTAATACAGAGTAAATATAGAAAAACAAAGCTGGCTATGGGATAAGGTAGTAGTTAAATTAAGCTTTAACAGCTAGTTCTCTGGTTGTGATGTGTTGGGATATTGAGTCTTGTCAGCATGGGGTGCTGTGACAGTGCCTAGCTGTGTGCTAATGAGTCATGGTGTGAAGTTTAAAAGGAGAGCACAATCCCCTTTCTTCTCCTTCTCATTGACTTCATGTCTTCTTTGAAATGAAAAGACATTGAACTAGATGCACATTTATCTAGTCAAAGACAGTCTTAGTCCCAAAACAGGTATCTGAGTTTCCCTGTTGTGATGGGTTTACCTTGACTGAACACCAGGCACCCACCAAGGCTTCTTAGGGGTGTTGCTTGCACAATGTGTTGTATGGACAAGAAGCCTTTTAGAAGGAAACAAAGATGCAAAAGAGAAGGAAGTTGCTCTCTAGATCAAGGGCTCTGAAACATTTATTTTTTTGGTCTCAGCTGCTTGAGGTTAGGGGAGGATAATGCTTTGATTGTGGCTTTTCTTTTTTAATATTTGTAGTAGTTCCACTGCTATTGCCCTTCTCCTTGTTGGAAACACAATAACTAAAGCACTCAGGAAAAGTCCAGTCCTATGTAATTACCTCATGTAAGTATGACTATAAAGATAAGTGTCCCTATGGAACAGCGTGGCAACAGCATTGTCCTTCAAAAGAGAGTAGATCTCTGTTTTGCCCCAGCCCTAAATAGGGGTAGCAACTCTGAATAAAGATAAAAGGTTTTACTCATGGGTCCCAATTTAGGCATTGTACTCAGCTCAGGAGCCAGGAATAGTTCATAAATAATTTGACTGGCAAGCTGGTAGGGTAAACTTTAGATAAATACTTTTGGTGCTTTGTTTTGTGCTACTAATGCAAGGAAACCACAAAAGACAGTTTGAAACCTGTAGTGCTAACATAGTTCCTAATTTTTATTTATGTGCCAGAGGCTAAATGACTGCATTTTGTTATCCGATTGTTAATGAGCTCTTCAGTCCTTTGTAGGATGTGTGGAGGGAAAAACTCAGATTCCTGGAGATAAGGATGGAAGAGTAGGAAAAGAAGACTATTCTTAGACTGGATTTTCTCCACTAATTCTTTTCCTTTATTCATGTCCTCAAAATTACTCTGCTAAGATTCCAGACCTGAGGAGATTCAGGTCATACTGAATTGCATTAAATGTAGACTTATTAATAGAATTTCCTGTTTTCAATAACATGCTCTCATACTTCACCTGTCCTTGACTGAGTGAGGTACAAAAAAGCCCCATCTGCAGTTGTTGTGAGGTTACAATTCAATAGATAATCCAATTATATGCTTTTTTGAAGCTAGGTCAAGATCACACACAGAGTTGTATTGATTACATTTTAATGCCAGCACTGTCATGGCAGCAGAAGGGCAAAACAAGCATCAGTCACAGAGCAGGTCAGTTGCCATGCAACATATTTAGGTGCTGTGAAGTAACTCTAGGTAGTTTCAGTGGATAGTAAGTTATTTAATGTGATGCCTCCGAAAGGTAACGACTTAAACATTGCCTAAAACTTGTTGACACTATGGTTAGCTTTTATCTGTCCTAGTGCTCTGTCCCTAAGCTGTGCATTTCATTGCAGAGTTCTGATGAATGTTGTAATTAGCCCGTGTTGGGAGAGTCCTAAAGGTTGAGATGCTAAAAAACCCTCTATCTTTTATGCTAAAGCTGCGGTAAAATTTCAGCATTAAAGCTTGTAATCCATTCATTTTCTGCCTGATGTAAAGACGTGGTTTTCTGGACAGTGCCTAAATTTCAGAAATGCCCAGAAATATCTTATTCTTGGTTTTCCTGCTGGTACCTACCACTTGCCAAAGGAGGAGTGGATTCCAGGCACTTAACTTTCTCCTTATCTTACCCCTTCTAAAATGTTGCAGATCAGAAGCAGGAGAAGGTGTTAATGATGTGAGAGCATTCACAGTTGATCTGAAAATCCCTCCTCTATTTGATGGGAATCATATTTGCATCTTCCACAAATTGCCTTATCTATTAGGCAATAGTCCATCTGAAGAGATAAGATTTCCTCTTCTATTGTTGAAAGCTTGATGGTGTGCAGGAGAAAAATCAGGGCTCTTCCAATCTGTCTGTCTGTTTTTACTTAAAGCTCCCACCTCAACGTCACAATCTCCTCTTTTCCTTTTCTAATCCTTTTTGTCACTCAGTTCTGCACTCTACCCTCCAAATGACACAGCGCACTTCAGAACATTATGTGAGCGGAGTGCCAAGGAAAGAGCTGCGGTTGGAAGCAGTGATTCTCAAGCTGTAATTCCGGGAGTATCAAAGGTCTCTAAAGGCTTTTCTGAACTTACGTGAACAAGACGTCTTAAGAACTGAAAAAGAATAAAAATAGTGACTGAGGGTGCTAGGAAGGAACGGTATGATTTTCTCTGATTAAGTTGTCTGCAGAATGAAATGTTGACAGATTTGCTGGGCTGAAAGAAAAGCTGTGTTCCTTTATGTCTTCCTTTCTGGAATTACAGAGCCATGGTGTACATTGCTGGAAGCTATCATCTATGATCTAACAATGAATGCAGCTCCTCCATGGATGTCATCTTCTATCCACAATGTCTGGAAAAGAGTATTAAAACAATGAATACTTTGGATAAGTTTTGTTAGTTGCCTGTGGAAAAGACAGTGCTTTATCGGAAAGATGCTGCTTTATTGCAAATTCATAGACAACTATAGTATACTGAAATTTCCATTGTGGCAATGAAAGTGATTTAGGATTTTTCTGGGAAACAATTAGAATTTTATCGTTTTAATAGTTGAAGTTTCACTTGCTCACTTTAAAAAAATTGTCTCACAACTCACCTTCATGGAGGAACTTTTGATAGATTCTTTCCCTAAGGGAAAAGGAAATGGTAAATTATATGAAGCACAGAGAACCTTGTGTATATGCACACACACCTCTGTAAATGTGCATATATGTCTGTGTGAATACATATACAAATACACACATAAGTGTTTATTTTCTAAATATCTTCATATATATATGTAATTATACACCAACACTTCCATATAGAATTGTGTGTTTCCCCCTTTCATATTATGGTCAGTTGTCCTGAAAAAAATGTTTTGCAGATCTTTTAATGAGATAAATTTAAATTTGTTGAAGCTGTAAAAATGTAAAACAGAAATGCAAATTTATTTACTACTTGAGAAACATTATTGCTTTGAAAATACTCAGAGACTTGACCTTTATCACCTCAAAATAGATATTTTGACATTTACTGCACATATTAGTAATACAGCATTCAGTATTGACTGTATTGAACTGTTATGATTTAATCTTAAATGTTAGTTTTTAGTAACTTTTAAAAAATCTTGTTCTCTATTATTCCTTTACCTACCTGTTATAAGTTAGTTTAAGAATTTAGACAACTCAATTCCAATTAAAATTGATAAATTTATTAAGCAAGCAATAATAAAGCAAACAGCGCTGGGTGGTCTGGGGGGCAAGTGCCCCGCCCGAGACACACACACCTTGTTTGAAAACCGGGCTTTTTGTACCCTTTCGATATCAGTTGTTGAATATTCATTCATTGTCCGTTTGTTGCCTTAAAAGGTAATTCCCCTGCTTTGGAGGTGGGTGTTACCTTTTGGCTGGTTGTAACTTATCTCCCCTGGGTTCGTACAGGGGGGTCTTGCATCATCCCCACACTGCAAGGCATGGAGGGCCTTTCTCTGTATCCACATGGCACAGAGAAATATATTTTTATTTATAATTTGTTCCCTGTTCCCGGCTGCAAAAGATTCCCTGGTGTTAGGTCCAGACAGGACCCTTCACCTTACAGACTCCACGGTACACTTAGAAGTTAGTAAATATACAGAAATAGTTTTTTGTTAGTACCCCCTTTTTATTTTAATTTGCTTGGAATAAAACCGGTGCCTTTACTTATCACACTACCTGTAGATGCTGAAAGATCCTTTGTAATTGCAAGCTGCTCAGGATCAAGAGCCAAGTATGTGTTTGATGAATTCACGTGATGGACTTGAAGAATGATTTCCTAGCAGGGCTCAGATGATGCAATAAGGAAGCTTTATCTCTCCTTTCTCTTTAGTACTATGCAATATGATACATGCTCAGAAAGGACAGCTTTTAGTAAAAAAAAAAAAAAGAAAACTAGAGATTGAGCAGTAATAATTTCTGATCATGATGCATCTCTCTCTATTCAAAGCTAAATGGCCTCATTTTCCTGAGTACCTAGTGTAAATGGTTCAGGTATCCATGAGTATGAAATCTCCCTCCTCCTGGTTGCTTTGCAGCATGAAGTTTGGTCATTATCTGTCTAGTGTATTCCATCTCATGGTTTAAGGAGAGAGAAAGGCAGAGGCTGTGAAGTTAATCACTGCAATCTCCTCTAGAGAAATAGCCTGAGAAGTGGTGGTCTCTGGTACATGTCTGAAAACAGAAACAAATCTGTGCACTGGAGGAAGGAAGAGATTAAATGTGAACGGAGTTCAAAAAAAATGAGGCTGTTTGCCAAAGCAAGTCCTGATAACAGCAAGGGGGATCCAGATAAAGACCTTTTGTTACTCTCTGCTGTGGCTGTTAGCTATCTTCCTTTGCTATCATTTGAAGGTAATCACTTAGAGTCTTACAGATTAAAGTAAAAGTCTTACATCAAAATACAGCAGTTTTACTGAGAAATGAATTGGAAAGCAGAATTAAGTAGTGAGTTGATTCAAACCAGACTGCATTAGTATTTACCGCCTGCAGATTCAGACTAGCCCCATGCTTTTAGGTAAATGTAAGTTCTATTTGGAAAGGCCCACACACTCCTCTTTCTGGGAGAAAATCTTGTTCTTGTCCATTGCACCATTTGGGTATAAAGAAGGAGATCCAAGTAAAACAACCTATTAAACAATTGTTTCAGTTCAATTACATGTGATGTTCACAAGGGGATGGTCAATGATTATTCCATATTTTCAAGAGAGTTTCTACAAAAAGGTGGGAAGTTTATGGTTCACTACAAACAGTTTATCTGCTATTTTCTCTGTGACTAATGCAAATATTCAATCCTCAGGACTGTATGGTGAAGTATCTGTAGTTAGATCTCAGTGCGGAAATTGTTTAACTCTTTGCAGTAGATATTTTAATACCAGACCCCCACATACGTTCTTTGGAGAGATTGTCTCATTTATCTCATGAAGGATGGTAACATTAATATAATCATTTGTGTGTAGGCAAATCCAAACCTTTTTTTTTTAACTTGCTGATTGTAGTTACTGGAATATGTTAGGCTTCAGGTTTCTTTGAAAAAAGTATTTGAATATAAGTGACCTACATAAGAGGAAGTTATGTAGGTCTTAGGAAACATTATCCTTTACTTTACAATTGTTTGTTACTGTCCACAGGGCTAATAGGATCCATCAGGGGAGTCAGGTGGAAGAGCATTTTGATGTTTGGGATATTTTAAGGGAATTGTGGCAATTTGTGAGGTTTACACATGGATAGGGGTGGAATGCTGTGGGAAAATAGAAGAAGGGCTTAAGGGGCCTTGTTGAGTGTATTCAATTTGCTCATCAGCACACTTGTGTATGACTGAGCCTTGTGTTACTTATCACATTTAATTATCACAGTCATATCTTCTCATGAAACCCTGTTTTTACTGTCTGGGTGGGTGAACTCTCCACCCATCCTGTGGGTGTGTGTGTAAACATGAATTAATTTAAAACTGGACCAGCCAGTGAGTAGAAGAAGAGATCTTAGTACCACCAGCCGGAGCGGAACCATGAACTTTCAGGGGCCTCAAGGTTTGTGTGCCCACAGCTGGGGAAACCAGAGGGTCAGGGACCAGCTACTGGATAGACTGAGTATCTAGGCCAGCTGCTGGAGGGATCAATATTGCACCTGCACATATAACAGATGTACGTATTTATATCTGCATGTATGGTCACGTATGGAGTTACATTCTACTAACAGGCTTCAACCTTGATCAGCTGAAGAGGACAAACAAGGATCAGGCTGCCTGTTCGTGTGAGTGCTGTGTGTTTACTGTCTGTGTTGTTCTGTGTGATGGGTGTGAATATGGATATATCTCTACACGTACGCTACATAAGATGTATTTGAGCTCACTGGGAATGACTGCTCAGCCTCAGTGCTGGCTGGAGATGGGGACATAGAGAGCAGCAAGCTTGCATCTGTCAAGCTATGGGGTTTGACAGCTTATAAGAAAGTATGCCAGTCTGAGCAAGCAAGACTCTTTTTTAATTAAAAAAGCAAAAAGCTTATGTGCAAGGATCTATTACTGCCAAGCAGGTTTAAACCTCCTGTTTGTAGGGGATGTTTTTTTCATATATCCACCAACGTTTCTCTATAATCCTTAGAGACTCTCCTAAAGATTGCCTCACAAGCTATTTTCGTAGAATAAGGAGACTTTGAAATGAGCTGACAAGCAGAAGAATCACAAGTCATAAAACATAAAGAATAGGGGGACTTACTTTATTAAGCTGCTTTTTTTTTTTTTTTTTAACCAACAGAACAAGCAAAACTTCTACTTCTTTATGTGTAATATTATAGCAACGATCACTTTGCTATAACAAATTATTACTGCAGTTGGAGAAATGATGAGCTGAAGTTCAATTTTCAGGGGGTATGTGAATGGGGTAGGAGGCTGCACACTAAATTGGAGGATTTAGTTTACGTGTTTCCTGGGGCTAGAGGCAGTGTACATTCCCATGAAACAGAAAAGAAGTTAAATTGCTTTTCCTTTTGAAATGCAGTTATACTTCTCTTCCTCTACCACCACAGATATTACCAGGTAAAGAGAGAAGGTACCTGATCCAAGGACTGCTGAAGACTACCTCTTACATGCTTCTTAGGCAGATTGATCTGGCCCTTGCAGAGAGGTAAAAAACCTTGCTGTGTTCACAATGCAGAGGATTCTATTAGATCTCTCATTTAATGTTGTGCTGTAGAAATTCATTGCAGGTGATGATCTTACCTGCAATGATTCTACACACAGTATCCACTCTATGTAGTGCTTGCTAGATTATCTAACCAAGTGATCTAGTCTTGGCCTCCAGCAGCTCTTAAGTGAAGTCTGTTTGGGCTTAGAACCTCTGATAAACCTTTCTCAGTGCTTCCAGGTATTTCATAGTTTTAAAAATTAAAATTGAAATCACAGCACATAGAAAATTTTGGCTGGAGTTGTTCAACTTATTGAAGTAATAAAAAAGGAAATTCCATATTTTTAACAGAAAGTGCTGTAAACCTGAGTCTTCTGCGCTGTTACAGTCTTGGAGCTGTAATTCCATTTCTTTTTAAGTCTCAATTGGATTCAAAATTCTTTAACTAATGAACTAACTTCTGAGGGGCAGGTAACTGTTACCCAATTAAATTGACAAAGAAGACAGGTTGTACCAAAGGGGGGAAAAAACCCCAAACCAAACCCCTTACAGTTACCACAAAGGACATCTGTCTTTGAATTAGGGAAAAAAGTGCTAATTTGAGACACAAGCTTACAGTGATCATTTAGGTAATTACATTAAATTATGCTTAATATAAGTAATTATAGTTATTTAGTTATGACACATTTAGACTCAGCCACGAGACATACTTGGTGCCTTGACCAGAGAGAAGAAATATACTCAGACACAGTGTTGTCTGTATCTTGTGTGAGCCACTGCATCCAAGTCTGGCACAGTCTCTAGTGCCATTCACGCAGCTGTGAAGCTCATGGAATGGCAAGTGATTGAAATACGAAAAGGAAGCTATGTACCATGCCTTCTCGTCAATGAAGGCTTGTCCTGGGAGTACTTTTTCTAACATTATGTCTGATGACAGTTAAAATTCCTAAGTACTGCTCTGCTCTTCATTATTTCCTCTAAATAATTATGCCACAGTGTAATATTTCCCCATATCAGAATATTTTTTCTAATAATAACTCAATGTTTTCATTTTCTATAACATAACTAGATGGCACTTTTTTTTCTAATTATAGCTACTCTTTTTCTTATCTGAGTAAAACAGAGAGGATTATTTTCTCCTTATTTCTCTGACATGATACCTCAATCAGAATTGCATTGCCTTTTTTTGTTTTCCTGTCATATTACATATTAATCTAATTTATTCCCAATTAAGAGGTTCAGGTCTCTTTTGGGATCAGTGCTTTTCAGGGTTTTCTCACCCAGAGGCTAATAGTTAAATTATTTTTCCCAGATGTATTTAACTCTAATCCTACAGAGAGTCTTACATAACTGCTTGGTTTTATTCTTTGTGAATATTCTTATTGCAGTGGATAGGACTACTGAGAGTGCATAAGAAAATATTTGTGATATCAGACTTTTATTAAAATGAATCCTGATTAAATGTAAAAGTGATGTCATAATATCAACTTTTAGATCTCTTAACCCTTTGATGAACTGATGTTTATAGTTTATCTTAGTTAAATATCGTATCAATAATTTCTGAATAAAACCAAAATGAGTTGTTTAATATGTATTGCTTTAGTCTAAGAATATTTTATGTCTCTCAAGGCATTTTTATTTTTCTGAAATGTGAATATAAATTTAGAGTTCTAACAAAAATTCTGCTTGTTTTAAGGAAATTAAAATAATTTTTCCCTCTTCATGCATTATTTAAAGAAGCCAGATGCTTTGGGTGTTCTGGTTGCCTTTGGAAGGAAACTAACATTTCCAGTTTAAGTTTATAATTTAAACTGAAATATCTAGGTCTCTCACAGTACTTTATTGCTTTCTGTCTGATTAAACACATAAGACTGAATTATCTTTACAACTCTCCAGTTTTGGTTTCTCTAGTGTTCTAGACTACTTTGTTGACGTATGTTGTCTTCTATGTTTCTAAGAACTGTCATTTCCCAGCAGCTTTGAAAAGTTTAGTATTTTGCCCCCCCTTTTCTTTTTAACTCTTTTTTGTTAAATCCTTTTGATGTGCTCTGGCCTAACCACAGTTAATGGACTCAAAGCAGGATTTAATATCTGTGGCCTGTGTTACACAACAGAATCAACCATTGTGGCAATGGTACCTCTCTTCTCTAAGTCCCAGATCTTATGTAAAACTTTGATTTATGAGGAAGTGTGTCTTCTTGAACCCTGATTCAGCCAATCATCCTTGCTTTGCAAATCTCTAAAACACACGTGTGTAGTAGAATGCTTGCTGAATAGAGAAGGATGAAAGGATTTGCTTGTGTTTTGTTGAGCTACTTTGTAAGAAAGGTTAGAATAGCTGAAGATGAGGGAATCCCTTGGGAATTTTGATAGTTATCTGGAATGTCTGAGCTTTTTTACTGTGCTTAATTAATTCAGTCTAGGAAGAGACAGTGACAGATTTTCTAGGATGTCAGGGAGAACCCCCAGTCTGATAAGAGTATTCATGGCTATGACAAGAAAGACAGAACGTGTCCCTGCTGTGTCAGTGTGAATATTTGCTAAGCAACAGTAGCCTAAGGAAGAATACATGAAGACAGTCAGCACTGAGTATTTTCCAGAACATTCTCCCAGCTTCCAATTGTTCCTGACAGATGGGTTTGTGAATTGAGGGGTGTCATTGCATTTAACAGCTCTTGGTGATTTTTTTTTTCCCATTATGTTGTCCTGTTAGTTTTGAACCTACCTAGATTTTGGCATTGGAGACCTTCAGTAGCAATGAATTCTACACTATGGGGTCAAACAGAGGAGATAAACTAAAATGGTTTATTAATTCTGACACTTCCAGTTTAAGCTAGCTCTTCTCTGTCTTGAAAGACCTCATGCTTTCCACTCGACAAGGTTAGCACCTCATCTTTTGCTACGATTTTAGCATTTTAGTTCTACTGCTACAATCTTTGTCATAAACACACACACACTCTCAGACATCACTTTCTCATGGTCTATTCACACAAAAGTTGCTATGCTTTGGTGTCCGGCTTTCAATTTCAATCAGCTCTGTCTGTCCAAATCTTTTTGTATCAGATTGGAAGCCTTGGTCTGTTAGCTGCTGGATGAATTCTCCTGGGCAGCTGAAGGAGAAATGAGCCAGCTGTGAGCCCTGCCCTGTTAGAGACCAGGTTATTTCATTGTAATTCAAAGCCAATTGCTTCCTTCCCAGTGCAAAACTATCTCTGTGAGCAGAGAGACTGAAAGTGGAATTTGCCTTTTATTATTTCAAAAATAAGTGGTGTATAGGTGTTTTAGGCCAGACTGGCTTGGATTGAGCTGCCTGATTTTAGATAGGAGTGTTTTCACTTGCCTCTGCATGGTCAGCAGAGTAAGCTGATCTCCTCAAAGGAAATCTGGACCTCTTCCATTTAGGCTCCTCTTGCAAGTTATTCTGTGGAAGCTTGCCTTTTCCTACTGACAATAAAGGGAGTGTGAGGAAACTGGACAATGAACTTGAACATTAAAATCTGTGAAGTAAAATTAGCTATAAATAAGTGTG